GACAGTGAGAAGATTCTACAGTTTTTCAGGAAAAAAAGGGAAGAAAAGGTCACATACAAAAATTTAGGATTCCGAATAATTTAGGAATGCCTGAACAGCACCACACGAAGCAGTAACAGTGTGGTGAGGACTTCACAATTCTGAAGGAAAATGATTTCCAATCCAGAGTTCAATACTCAAGCAAAACTATAAATCAAACATGAAGACAAAATAAAGGCATTTTCAAACATACATGGATTCAAAAATTTACTTTCCATCAATTCATTCTCAAAAACTTCTAGAAGATGGAAGATGTGCCAGAGTAAAAAAATAAACCAAGAAAGAGGAATACATAGAATATGGCATAAGAGATCCCATCATAAGGGATAGTGAAGGAAAATGCCAAGGTGACAGATGTACACCAACAACAGAAAACAGTCAGACCATAATCAAGTACGGACTTGTGCCCAGATCCTCATGTTTTATTTAACCTGAGAATAATGCCCCAGTGAGCCTGGACAGATTGTTGTCTATATTTTGTCTTGGCTTCTACATGCCTTACTGCTGGCATCAGCTAAAGACACTCATTTCACCTACAGAAATTGTTCTGCTTTGGTATGCTCTTGAGAGCCAGGGTACATAGTGGTGAATTTGGAAACAGGGGACAACTCTTCCCATCACATTTCTGCTGGACATTCAGGACCAGGCCCACTGCATTTCTTCCAGATCCCCCTGCCCTACATGCCAGGACTAGCTCATGACCTTGCCTACTAATGTCCTAGATAGCTGGACTCCTGATTAAAAACCTATATATGATTTCTGAGGCCCAACCATACACAGTGACAAAGGTTTACCTGACAGGCCTCACTGAGATAGCTACCCGCTTCACACACACATGGTTCATGGTCAGTACAATGCAGTCTCTGAGGACTCAGGATGCCCTGGCCAGTCATGCCCTCCATATCTTTGCATTCCTAACCCCAGCACCTTCATTTCTAGGTCTCTTTATCTGAGACTTTGGGTGGAAGTCCACTTATGGAGGGGTAAAAGGGGGTAACCCTGAAGACACTTTTCCCCAGTCTGACTCAGTACCCAGTACTTTTCCATTCCTAGCCATTTTCCCCTCGCCCTCCCCCCTCCTACCTCAGTGTCCATAAAATGCTGGAGCCTTTTGTTCAGGGCTTCCTCAACAGCGAGATGACCCCCATGTCTGCACTAATCCCTCGATCTCAGCCCGGGTACTGTTCCAGAGGGGGAAGTGGACCAGGGGAGTCTGTGTTTTTTCCAGTTTTAGAATCTTATTACACCATCACAGTAAGTAATAGAAGGCTAAACTCTTTTGTTTTTAGCTTATTGCTATAAACGACTACCCCAGTACCTGGCAGCTGAACTCCCCATCCTACCTAGCTCAGCGGAGCTCCTAACAGTCCCTGAAGGTTCACTCCGGGAGCCCTCCTCCCTACAGAATAGAGACTTACACACACCAAGTCTTAAGAAACTGGCCTCCAGAAACTGTAGCTGACACATGTCAGGGCATCTTATAAAATAAATAACTATAATCATGGATTAACAACATGGCTTTTAGAAAATAATAAAAACAATGTGTTTTGCTTTTAAAAATACTAAAATACTGAGAATTCCAGGAGGTACAGCATGAATAAGTTGTATTTGCAAAAACATCTGACTTCATCTCCTCAAGTCAGAGCTTGGCAGCCCAGCCCCACTTCACCATTTGGCTGTGTTTTCTATTTTCTCTTCCACTTTCATTTTCTGTGAAATGGATTGGCTTATCTGACTTCAGAAAACTTATATCTGTACTATCTTAAAAGAAATATGCTTCTGGAGTAAAAATGTCATACTCAATCTGCCTGTAAATTTATATAATACAATTTATAAAAAGATTCTAACCACAATTATAGATATCCTCCTCTTTATTCTTAACCCACATGTTAAGAAGTCTGCAGCTTCATCCCACTTTAAAAGTTAGAAGGGTGACAAAACTAACCACCAAGGAAGAAAACAATATGAACTACCTAGCAATTTGAGACCTCTAAAAATACTCACGTCAAGAACATTTTAAAAAATGATGAAAAAGACTGATTAAAGAAGTGACAGAAGACTTTATTCAACACAGTATAAAGCAGGATCACCACTGGAATCTAATTTACACACCCACCCTCCTCAAGGCACAGGGCAATAGCCAAGGCTCCCGAGAATACAAGGGGCTCTATAATGTGGGAGAACTGGATGCTCATTTGGGGCTGGAAGGAAACGAGTTTAGGATGTATTTGGATAGAGCTAAAGTGATTAACCAGGGTTAAAACAAAACAAAACACTAGCAAACGGAGCAAAGGAAGAACTAGAGAAAGAGAAACCTGTGCCACTACTGCAGTGTCTACAGCCCAGCACCGGCATATGGCAGAGCACCCAGGAGGGCCTAAGAGTCAAGGACACCCGAAGGGGGCCAGCAAGGGACCAGAGCAGTCAAGTGGGTGAAGCTGAAACAGGTTACAGCCTTCTGAGCCAGAAAGAGAAACCAAAAAACAGCTCTCTGGAAAGGCTCAAATGCCTTTTGTTTTTGTTTTTGTTTTGTTTTGTTTTGAGAGAGAGCAAGGGTTAAACAAGCAGGAGGGGAGGGGCACAGGGGAGAGGGAGAGCAAGAATCTTGCGCAGTCTCCACACCCAGCCAGCACAAAGCCAGACTCTGGATTCGATCTCACAACCCTGAGATCATGACCTGACCCAAAATCAAGAGTCAAATGCTTAACTGACTGAGCCATCCAGGTGCCCCAAGACTCAAATGCTTTTAAGCAAAGTCACCCCTATTGCTACCCTAAGCAGTGGTCTACAGATCTTTTTTCTACACTCAAACTACAAGAAATAAGACTTGTAGACTATAACTCAGCATATGCACATGTAGACATGTATATACAATCAACAAACAGAAGTTGCTCTAAATAACACCCATCTTACAAAGTGTTGTGTACTCTCTTATTGATGTTTATAATCTTTTCTTTTTCTTGTAAAAAAAAAAAAAGGTCCTGGGCCAAACCCACTAAACTGATTCTAAAATCACCCTGCAGTTTGGCAGACAGCATGCTCAAGTAGTCACTGGCTAACCTCGGTGAGAGGTGAAATCAATGGTCTCATGAGATCATAGTTCAGCTTGAATCCTGCTCCTCTACTGGTCAGATTTCTGATTCCTCTCACTGGCTCTGGAATAGTCTCAGACCAGCCAAGGTCATTCATCAACCAGCCCAACCCATTTTTTCAGTCTTCATTTTCTACAACGGCCCTCAATAATCTGCATCCTAGCAAAATTGATCCGCTCTCTACATCCCAGGTTGCCCACCTTTGCCTCTCCCTAGGATTCTTTTCTCCCCAACCTATCCAAAACGCTCTGATGTTCCAAGACACAATTAAAGGAACCCTCCACACAGAACAAATGTCTCCTGCCTCCAGCATTATAAGCACTTTCTCCTTGCTGTCTGTGTCCCACTGACACACACCCGGCATGGCTCCAGCTCCCATCTCACCCCTCCACATAGTTTCAAAACCCAAGCATGCCATCTCCAAAAGAAGCCACCTGGTCTGTACTTTATGTTGACTAGACAAATGCACATGTATTCTCCTATGCAGGGAGAAAACTGCTATCAGGGGACTGTTGGGGCTGAAGACTGAGAAATCCGAGGTCAGGGCCCAAACCACCTAGAACCTCTCAGTCAGAACCAGGACATCAGGCTCTTCACAGCAGACGGTGTACCTTTGGCCTTTGAAATGATGGCTATAACAAGCACTATAAGAAAACGACACTGAATGTTTAGTAAATGTTTAGAAATTCTTCTTTAAACTTTCTTTTTTTAAAAAATAGCATAATATAGATCAGTGATTTAGCAACATTGCCACATTCCATATTTTAACTTCTCTTACTCAAAATCAAATCTCCCAAATGTAGAAAAGCTATCCATTAGTACTCAGCAGAATGATAGACCACCCCCCCCAACCACCCGGCCAAAGTAGAGACCTTTGGCTCATCATGATACCAGGCACACTGGCCTTGCAGTCTTTCAAGTCAGCTTCCTCTTCTGATTACCGTATACTTTTGGTTATCTTTGTGTCTTGTTTCAAAAACAAAATTTACCACCTCATCTTTTAATCATGCATTTTCATTTCCGTCTCCCCCAGTTACATAATTAAAAGAACTTTCTTATAGCTAAATCAGAAATACTAGCATCAAAGTATCTTAAATCTATACGCAAATATATTCTAAATTGATCTTCTAATAACTTCCTCATTTGACAAATATTTAACAAGTAACCGTTACCTGCTCAAACACTGAGCTAGGAATGCAGCAGATCTTTGAGGTACTAAACTGAAAATGCCATACTTCCAAAGCAAGTATAATGGAATAATAGTAGATTCAAACTCATTAACCCAAATTGAAAATCATATACCTATGCTCACACTTCTGTACTAACAAGAAATCAGTAAGCAATTAAAAAAAAAAATTCTAAAGATACTCTCAAGTTAAATATTTAAGCAAGTGTACAATGTAACAAATTGTCAAAAGAAGAAGAAACATAAAAACCTTAAAAAATTTGTCAATCTTTTTAGTTTAAGGAATATTGCTGGACTATGATGTTATTAATCAGGTCAGATATTAAATATCTGTAAAGAGTATACTTCCATCTTAATGTCAGCAAAATAGTCATTAATACCATTTGATGACTGGTCCTTATATTTTATGCAAACAATATACTGTTTATGCTCAAAAGCCTATGAATATTTAAAATTTATAAAATATTTCCACCATTCTCTTTATTTAAGCATCTAAAATTATTTTAAGTTTAGCTGACTATGCCAATGGTGAAATCATTCAAATAGGAAAGAATTTTATATCTATAAATAGATGTATTAGATATAACAGTTATAAAACTGAACTGCAAGTTAATCTTTATCTCACTATTTTTACTACATAGTATTATAACACATACCAAAATATTCTCAATGAATGGTCTTACCTTAAATACGTGCCATATATGAAGAATAATGCCATCATTAGTCCATTTAAAATAAAAATTACAGCAACATAAAAGCAAGCAGGATCTCCCAATCCTTTAAAAAAAAAAAACAAAACATATGTTCTAACTATAAATTACTTTGTATGTCTGGCAATTTATATTAAAATGTGCTTAGTTTGCAAATGGCACAGATACATTAAATGGTTGCCTTGGTTCCCATACGAACACGTGACTCTACCGCGGAACAAAGATGAGAACACGGCAGGAGCTGCAGTGGTTTTTAAACAGGGCTACAAACTCATGGACACGCCTCCTGTAAAGGCGTGGGGGGAGTCTCTGCTCCTGCTTTTGATGACGGCTGGGTTGGTGACTGCCTTAACAGAAGACGTCAGAAGTCATACATGGGATTTCTAAGGCTGGAAGTGGCCAAGCAGTGTCCGACCTGGAGCCCATGAAGAGCCTGACTACCCTGAGGTACGTGCTATACAACAGCCCCAGGTGTGCGGAAAGGCGTTATGTAGGTGTCCCATTTGAGAGTCCCAACTGAGCCCAGCCTCGCAGGGACCCCAGTCGGGAGCTAGAATGCCAGTGAAGCAGTCTCTAACTAATTTCAGTCTTCCCAAGCCACCTGAGTCTAGCAGAAGCCTCTGACATGGTGGAAACAAACCAACCCTGCTATACCCTGCCCAAATTCCTCACTTGCAGAATCCATAAGCACAATAAAATAGTTTTTTATATCACTAAGTTTGCAGTAAGTTTAACGTGCTCCAACAAAGAACTGGAAAAAAAATTGGAAAGAAGGAAAGAAACTTGCCTTCACAGCTTTCAATAGGACTGAGTCCTTCTCCTCTGGTCACTGTCCAACATATCTTGGTTTGAAGACCAATCAAGTCCATTATATTGGTATAAATTCGATACCAGCTGGCTAAGATTACCTATTTTTAAAGAAATAAAGACATTTTTTAGATTTTTTTTAGAGAAAAGAGATCATCAAGTTTCATTACTAAAATATTTTTGAGATATTTTGATAGTTATCAAATTTTCCTTCCCTCTACCATCTACTTAGCTCCCTTTAAACCTAGTAAAATAAGCCTCACAATCCCCTACACAGATTCTTCATTGGTCAGTGTTCAACTCTCCACCGATGGGTAAGAATAAAATATAACATGAAACACACAAGATTTATATTTTTGAAAGATATAAAATCCTAGTAAGGTACACAAAAGAAGAGTTGAACAAATAAATACTCTGTCTTCTTGAGTAGATCTAATTTCTCCAGATGTGAATAGATAACAGCATTTCTATACAGAAAGAATACATACAGATCACACACAAAGTTGAAAGGCAAACAAAAAGCTAGCGGGAAAATGTTTTCCCATATAGCACAGTATTAATATCTGGCATGGAATAAATGAGCTCTTCCTTTCTACTTTAATAGAAATATAGACAAAGGGCATAAGAAGCAAGCAATTACTTTTGAAATTTCAAATGTATTTTTAATGTATAGCATTGAATGAAATACATATATACACAAATATATAGCAATGAACAAAGTATATCCTGTGATTTTAATTTTTTTGTCTACCAAATTGGCAGGGATTCAGGGAAATAAGCATTTTCAAAAGCACTGCCAATGGTAACTTTGATTAGTATAACCTATCTAGAAAGCATTCTGGCAACACATACCAAAATCATTAAAGTATATATTCTGTTGAACTAAATATAGTTCCACATCAACAAATTTATAGTTTAAAAAACATAAGGCTATGTACAGAGATTTAGCTTCAAGGATGCTTATGGCAGCTCTAGAATATTTTAGAAGTTGAAAACAATGAACATTTTCACAAAAGATGGACTAAATAAACAATAGAAGACTGTATATATAGCCACTAAAACTGATTCTGAGGAAGAAAAGATGACACAAGACTGTTAAAAATATTCTAAAAGACAAAAAAATCACTTATAAAAAAAAAGATGTGTGATCCCATTTCTATAGCAGTAAATGTGTACATGGTCATAGAAAGTACTCAGTAAACAGTACGTTAGTGAACCAATACTGCACCTTGGTGGTTATTTATTTGTCTCTATTTCCTCTATCTCCATCTCCTCATTAATCAATCAGCTTACTCACTGATCTAGACGGAAACAGGACTTCTCTCATTCAATGGGAAATGCCTGAGAGCCCCGATAGATAAGTTGAGGTACTGAGCCTGGGCTTGAGATCCCCAGAGACCAAGGCAGCCAGAGCCCTGGCATGAGGACGTGCTGTCCAGCAACATCAGTAAGCTAAGAAGCGGGAGTCACGGGGACAGTGTATTAACAGATGACCCTCATATCAAGTCAGGGAGGATCTGGCTGAAGAAGTCACCTCTCAGCTTAGCCCTGGAAAATGCTTAGGGATGTGTCAAATTAGGGCAGGGATGGTAAAGGAGAGGCCAAAAAAGTTACTGATATCACTGGCTTCCTCCCTCACCTCCTGGGTGAATCCCCTTTCCCCCACTCCACCCAAAAAAGAGCATTCAATTAAGTGAAGAATCCCAGAGAGGGAGCAAACATTATTTGGCAAATGACAGGTAATGGTGCTTCCTTGCTATAATCTCTACAAACACACCAAATCTCGATAGTTTTCAAATTTTCTAGACCATGCAATCGTAATGGTTTCCATGAAATCAGTTAAAGCCCACCAAAATTAATAATAGTCTTTTCTCCATATTCCTTTCCAAGAAAACATACACATCTTTCTTAAAAAATGAGGTGAAATATAATATATTGAAATACATCTCACATTTAGAATCAGTATTTAATACAATAACACTTTTAAACAAAACAAACAAAACAAAACAAAAAACCACACAATTGAAAAAGTGACTTACCTCAGGGTAAAGATTGAACCTTTTCAATGTGTTAATAACAAGGGGGTATTCAGTCAGCTTATCATTCATAATCATCCATACTCCATTAAAAAATGAAGGTGCTTCCACGATAGTCTTAAAGTAGGAATAATACAGTCCCTGAAACAAGCATATGTTATAGTTATAATTAAAATGCATAATTTCTATGCCTCTTACCAGCTTAAAAAAATGAAATACACTGTTTTTGAAAAACAAAGCAATCAAGCAAATAATAGCTACAATTATTCTCATGGTGTTTGATCACTAATAGAATCTTGGGTTATAAAAAAGAACTACATATTTTAGTATAACCTTGTCTTAATTAAAATAATTGAACTCAAAATATCTTCAAAAAGAGCTTCAACATTTAAAAGTAATATACAGGGTCACCTGGGTGGCTCAGTGCATTAAGCCTCTGCCTTTGGCTCAGGTCATGATCTCAGAGTTCTGGGATCAAGCCCTGCATCAGGATCTCTGCTTAGCAGAGAGCCTGCTTCCCCCTTCCCCTCTGCCTTCTTCTCTGACTACTTATATCTGTCTCTCTCTCTCTGTCAAATAAATAAATAAATAAATAAAATCTTTTTTTTTAAAGTAATATACATAATTCAGACAACATATGTAATAAGAAACTCCATATCCTTACTAATTTAAGTGTTAGAAAAGGCTATCTTATGAACAGGGCAAGTGAGCGGTTTACTATGGAACTTAAGTTACTGGGATCCAAGAAATCTCCCCTAGCCAAAAATGTTTCCCCCTACTACCCATATGAATCCCCAAAATGGTGTTATCAGTCATCCTTCCTCCAGATTTACATGTAAAAATTCAAATATATTGGGAAGGCTACATGTTAATATATTACATGTAAGTTACATTCAGATGCCAACTAATTTTACAGACTATTTTCCTTCCTTCCAGCTCAGAATAAGGTAAAAATCCTGGAGGACTGGGGCTGTGTGAATCGGGGAGGAGTGCAGTAGAGGTACTCTCATTTTGAGGGAATTCAGACAGATATTAAGATTGGAATAATGCATGGATCAAAAAAATAAACAAGTACTAGTACTTGCTCCCCTTGTGAGGGGGTAAGCGGCAGAACAGGGTTCGACAGATGAACACAAGAAACAAACTTCACCTTCTGTACAGTGTTGCCTAGACCTGCACTAGTAGCCAGCACCCATCAGCTGTCAAACTCCAAACTGAATTTAAGGTTCATCAATATGAAAGCAATTTGCATACCCAATATTTATTGAAAAGGAAAAAAATGGTTCTTGATATTAAGGTGTTTAGCTTTCCTATCAGTATTTTTAAAAATATTTCCAACTGTATTAGGTTGAATAATATCTCCCTGAATTTCATATCCACTGGGAACCTGGGAATATGAACCTATGTGGAGTAAGTTTCTGGCAGATGTAGTCAAATTAAAATGAGGTCATCTAATATAAATGGTATCCTTACAGTAAGAGGGAAATGTAAACACAGAAACAATGGGAAAAGTGCCCTATGAAGACAAGAGGCACAGCTTGGAGTGATAGCATTTTCGATGCCACCCAGGGCACACCAAGGATTGCCAGGAAGCCCAAGAAGCTAGGAAGAGGCAAGGAAGGATTGTCCCTAGAGCCTTCAGTGAGAACACAGCCCCGCCAACACTTTGATTTCAGACTTCTAGCCTCCAGAACTCTGAAAGAATAAATCTCTGCTCTTTAAGCCACCTGGTTTATGGTATATTTGTTACGGCAGCTGTAGAACACCACAACAACCTATCTTGTTTCGTAGGTTTGTTTTGGAATCATGTAAACATCTTATTTAATTGTAAAATGAAAATTTTTAAGTCCCTAAATATCAAAATAAAAATAAAATAGAGAAATTAACTATCAAATTAGAAGAAGATTTCAAGTAACTTTAAGATATAGTAATTCTACTGTGCATCCCTAATGGCACATATCCCAAAGTCAAAAAGGAATGCAAGAAAGTTTTAAAATGTTTTCAATCATCTTAGTTTTAATAATCTCTGGTACTTTTATTTCACAAAAATAAGTAATATGAAACCAAGATTCTTGGGCTAATAGTAGATACAAATTTAAAACAAAGTAAGTAAAAACCACTTAATCCTAAATTTGAATTGACCCTAGAACAACACAGGTTTGAACTACACAGCTTCATGTACACCTCAACTTTTTTCAATAAATAGAGTACAGTACTATAAATTTATTTTCTCTTCCTTATGATTTTCTTAATATTTTCTTTTGTCTTACTTTGTTGAAAGAATATAGTATAGAATACAGATAACATAAAAAATATGTGTTAACTTACTATCTATGGTATCAGCTTTTAGTCAATAATACGCTATTAATGGTTAAATCTCGGAAGAGTCAAAAGTTATACATGGATGTTGGACTGCACGGGGGTCAGCACCTCTAACCCCTTGTTGTTCTAAGGGTCAAATGTAGTAGCAATAAAGATCTCTAGCACCAAATTTGTGGTCTCTGAATACCATCTGCCACTGAAAGAAATTGGGGTTCCTTGGAAAATGGGAGGATTCCAGGTCTATAGAGAAAATGTCTTAATAGTACTAGAAAGTAAGAAAGCTATAGAATACTAGTGAGGTCATATCAAAAGGACACAGAGTCAACTGCAAAGGCTCTCGTCAGCTAAAGATGGGTAAGTTCACAAAACATGCTAAAATCCATTAGATAATAATGATAGAATCTGAAAGAAGGTACTCAATTGGTTACCAGAAGAAAATGCTAGGAAACCAACTCATTTTTCCAAAAAGTGGTAAATAAAAAGAAAAAAAATCAAGTATTCACCTCTCATACCTGTACGAATTATACATCATAGAAACCAAATAAATATTATGGGAAAATTCTTCTTTATAGAAGAATTGCAATTAACAAATGGAGGGGAAAAAAGAATAGATAATTACCATTTGGTAATCTTAATGAATGACCTGATCTAGGCTGATAGCTAGGCTATAACAGAAGGACCAACATGACAATACCTAAAGCCACTGATCAATCTTGACATCACAGAAAGTGAGACAATCAGATTGGTGTGCCTCTTTGTATGGTACAATAAATGCACATCACTTATGAAATATTCCCGCCCCCAAAAAAAAAAAAAATTGAGCCTTCATATATCAAGTCTTTTATCTATCAATTTTCAGGGAACTTTGGACAGTGAACATAATAAATAACATAAATTACTACAGGTAATTCTATAAGACAAATAACCTGGATTCTTCCATAACTAAAAAGTAAAACAATAAAAACAGGAAGTGGAATTTATAGATTAAAAGACTTAAGAAAAACATCAACTAGATGAAATGTACAGACATGGTTTGAATCCTGATTCCAGACTATAAACACACCAACTATAAAAAGAAAAAAAAAATGCCAATCGGTCATTTAAACAGTGGCTGACACTTAACGGTATTAAGAGATCACTGTTCATTGTTTTCAAGTGTGCCAATAGTACTGTAGGTAATAAAAAATTCTTTTCTTTTGAGATACATACAAAAGTATTTACTGATGAAATGATATGATGTCTAAGGTCTCCTATGTGTGGAGGTGTATACGAAGGAAAAATGGCTGTGTCACCGGTTGTTGAAGCTGCAGAATGGGCAAGGGGAGGTGTCCACTCTTTCTTTTTTGGAACATCTTTGAATTTCCATGAGAAAATGCTTAAAAGTTTTTAGATCCCAAAAATATCACATAAAAACTAACCATTTCAGTGCGAAAAGCCATCTCCCTTTCCAATGTTGAGAGGTGAGAAAAGTGACGATCATTTTCAAAGAGGTGTGTTATATGGCTCCTGTAAAAACAAAAGGGTGACAAACCAAGTGTTGACACTTATACTCAGTATTATTTTTAAAAGAAACTCTAAGAGCAAAAATAAAGGTATCTAGAAACTCGCACATAATTTTGTAATAAAATTCAAATACAGTGGTATCTGTATCTATTTTTCCACTCTGTCGTAACATTCCACTAAAATTTCTAATAGAAAACACATTCAAATGAGATCTTAAAATTAGAATGAACCAGAATAACAATAATTTAAGTCAAGTACAATAAAATTATAAATTGAACTATAAATGTCATTGGGTTACCATCTCAGAAATGTCTGATTAATGAAATTCATATTTCACTCTATCCAGAAGATTAAAAAAATTAATCTTCCTCTCAACATGAACACTATATTAACGTTAAGTGAAACAGAGTCTCAAATATAACCTCTTTAATAATGGATCTCTTTTTTTATTAAAAAATTACATTATTCTGACCTTGATTTATCAATTAAACTACTACTTCAGACTATTTTGTTGCATGTAATAATATATATTCACCCTTATCATCCTGAAATTATTTCTTTATATATACAAGAAATTGCTTTGGTGAGTTGTAACCATCTGCATAAAATACACCAGAGGAAAAAAACAATCTTACCAGTGCAACACTGCTGCAAAGGCAGCTGAAAGAAAAAAAAGAAATTTAAATTAGTATGCTAGCATAAAGAAATGTTTTCACTTTATGGAAAAGCATTATAAAGATAAGCATTTGGGATGTGTGATGTTGGACTCTTAGCAACTGGGGAAAGAGAGTGACTCTTTGAAAGAAACCCCAGGGCTAGGCTTAAAATCCAACAGCCTGGACTATAAAAGAATTAGGCATATATCTACAAATTTCATTCATTCAGTCATTCAACAAAATGGGGGCCTACTATTTGACAAAAACTACACAAGAAACCCTCAGATGGAAACTTCCACAAATAGCACTGCCACAGGGACAGAACCAGCAGTGAAAGGTAACTCTACAATAAAGAAATATGGTGACCTCAGGGCACAGGACTGGGGATGAATAAAACGAGAGCTTACCACTTTTTGCATATTGTTGCAATATCTGGATTTTTATGATAAGCTTTCCTATTTTTTTAAACAAATGTAGAATGAAATAAAAACAAGAGATGGAGGGGTTGTTGATGCAAAACAAGCAAACATTTTAGAATCTCTAAAAGTAGGAGCTTTACTAGAGGCCAAGTTAGGACAGCTGCCCAGGAAACACACTCTTCACAGGGAAGAAAGTACTTTGTGGAATAAACAGTTTTTACTGTTATATACTTTTTTACATCTTATAAAAGCTCAAAAGATTATAGATTAGCATACAGGCAGGCAACACAAGTTTTAATGTCAAGGAATGCAGGGAGTAGGAGCATTGATCGATATCTTAAAGACAAGATGGTTTTCCTTTAGGCTACTCATTTACGAAGCAGGTGTATAATGTATGCGTGGCAGGCCATAAATCAGGCTTTTGGTTTAAACCAAGTTTATGTATAGTCATGCTGACTTAGAAAAAAATCTAAAATGACTTCCCTTATATCTCAGGCCTTTAGAGTTTTTTTCTCTTATCAGGGTAAAAGGAAAAAAGAAAAGGTAAGGAAGAGAAAACAAGGTAATAATAAAATCAGTCTCATAGGAAAATCAATAGTTGCTTTCTGTCCAAGTAAAAAGAATGTACTAAGAAGAATCCAGAAAATACCAATTTTCTTATGCCACAAGACTCATCTTATTGCAGGCTTCTGATTAAATAACTAATAAGGAATTGAACTATGAAAATGCTCTTAGAAATGAAAACCAGTCTGGAACTTATTGCCTTTATTCTTAAAGAAATATTTATATATATTTTTTAAGATTTTATTTTTTTATTTGACAGACAGAGATCACAAGTAGGCCGAGAGAGAAGTGGGAAGCAGGTTCCCTGCTGAGCAGAGAGCCCACTGCGGGGCTTGATCCCAGGACCCTGGGATCATGACCTGAGCCAAAGGCAGAGGCATTAACCCACTGAGCCACCCAGGTAGCCCAAGAAGTATTTATATTTAAAAAAATTAAAAAATACACTCTACCTAGGAGATCTTAATGGTTATACAAGACAAAAGTTACTCTTTCTAGATCACTACAACTGCAAATATTTAACCATGTTTGTCGTTTGACATTTGCTTATATATGGTACTTTGAGCTTTCAAAATTTTGATTTTTTTGTTGTTGTTGTTGACAAATTTACCATCCATTTCCTTTTTGGTTTCTGCCTTTAAAGACTTAACCCTGCAATAATGAAGTTTAGGCTTTATTTTCTCAATAATCTATTGTGTTCTGAATAAATCATTCTCCTCTCATAAAATGTAAATGCCATCTTTATCATATATAACACTTGACACAAATACTTTGATAATCCTTTTGAGATTATAATTGGGATTTCATTTATAAATTAATTTGGAAAGAATCTACACATTGACAGTAGGAATCCATATGTTTATAACCATAAATATGGTATATACCTTCAATTATTCAACTCCTTTTTCCATTGCCTTGACAAAAATCTTATCAGTAGAATTAATATAGCTATTACAGTTTATTCATATTTCTTAAGTCTTTCTTGTAAGTTTAATGAACATTTTTTCTACTAAGATCCATGAAATCTTTTTTATACTTTATTAGATGTTGTTAATGTATTTATTTTTGAAGTGTACTTATTTTGCAATGTACTTGTTTTACTCATTTACTAAACTATCATTAATTCTTAGAGTTTTTTGGTTTATCATCCTCAATCCTCTATTTTGAACGATATTATTTAAAAATGATAATTTTGCTCCTATTTTATAATTTTGCTGTGGTTTCTTCTCATTTGACAACAGTAATACATTTCTAGAATAATACTAAGTAATTCTGGTAAAAGAATGCATCAGGTCTTCTACTAAATTCAAGGGCAATGCATTTCACATATGCTTTTTTTTTTTTTTTAAAGATTTTGTTTATTTATTTGACAGACAGAGATCACAAGTAGGCAGAAAGAGAGGAGGAAGCAGGCTCCCCGCCGAGCAGGGAGCCCGATGCGGGGCTCGATGCGGGGCTCGATGCGGGGCTCGATGCGGGGCTCGATGCGGGGCTCGATGCGGGGCTCGATCCCAGGACTCTGGGATCATGACCTGAGCTGAAGGCAGAGGCTTTAACCCACTGAGCCACCCAGGCGCCCCTTCACATATGCTTTTAAATTAGACTTTAACCTTCACAATTCCAGAGTGATAAATAGGATTTCTCAAGGCCATCACCTCTGTAGTTCCTCAGAATACCACAATTCTGCAGAAGAACAAAGGTACCAAGTAGCTTTTGGTGCCTTCCTTTAATTCAATAGCTCAAGTACTAAACAATTCTTAGAGTTCTGGGCTTTTGAATGGAGCTCTTTCACAGCCTCCAGGGTCAATTCATAACCTGCCCAGTAGTTTTAATTTCTTTGTCCATTTCAATTTAGTAGTAATAATAATAAAGCAGCTAACATTTGCATTCTTATTACATGTCAGATACTTTTTAAGTACTTTACCAGAACTAGCTTGAGTAACTTGTGTAAGCAAAGTGAGCAGACAGAGAAAGCGAAGTTGAGGACAAGAACTCTTACAAGAAAGCCTTACACTGCATGGGCCCTTGAGGAGAATGGGGTGGGTGGGGGGGGCTGTGGAAAGACAAAAGCCAGGCTTACCTTACCTTAAAGTGTCTTATTCCCCTCCTTCTTCCCCCCCCCCACAAGATAAAAGGGAGGGAAAGTTGCAATTCATCTATTGATATAAACAGTATATTTTACAGAAACTACTAAGTTTTATATATAAATGTAGAGGGGCGCCCGAGTGGCTCAGTTAAGCGTCTGCCTTCAGCTCAGGTCATGATCCCAAGGTGTTGGGACTGAGTGCCACATCTGGCTCCCTGTTCAGCAGGGATCCTGCTTCTCCCTCTGCTCGTTGTTCCCCCCTGCTCATGCTCTCTGTCTCTAAAAAAAAAAAAAAGAAAAAAAAAGTAGAGTTATGGGGCGCCTGAGTGGCTCAGTCTGTTAAGCATCCTACTCTAGATTTCGAGTCAGGTCATGATCTCAGAGTCATGAGATCAAGCCCTGTATAGGGCTCCATGCTGAGCATGGAGCCTGCTGAAGATTCTCTCTCTCTCCCTTTGCCCTTCTCCTCCTCTCTCCCTGCCCCTTCAAAGAGAAAAAGATATTAGCTACGCTTTAATTAATTCAAAACTGAAGTAAGTACATGTGTGTATATCTATATGTCATTTGAAAATGAAAGCCCCAGTGAAGCAGATACAGCCTTGTGAGCATATAATTTAAGCATAAAGACATAAAATGACAAAAAATTCCTAACGGCACCCCTAGAGCTTTTCTTGCTTCCTTGCCTACAGAAAAGATTATAAACGATTTTCTCTAAATTTAGTCCAGTGATTACCAACCCCGTCTAGTCTTTTGTGAGTGTAATAAAATTGATAATCTCTTTTTCCATTTTAATACATATGCTATTTTTTGTCATTCTAAGGGACTGTCGTAAATATAGCATTTTTTTGTTTTGTTTTAATCAGAACATTACAAAAACAAAAACAGAAATAAAAAAACCAACACTGAAATTTCAAAAATCTAAGCCTATCCCATAAGAAAAAAAGCATTCAAGGAAAGAAGGTTTGCTCTGTAATCTAATTCAAAAGACTGCAATCCTATGGCTGAGAATTCTGAAAGGTTCTTAACGTTTTGCTGGAAGCACCTAAATTACCAACACTCTGAAACTAAACCAGACACTCCTTCCACTTTTTGATTAAAGAAATTTTATACCAGATTATACGTCACAATGTATCGATTTTCAGTTTCATGGGATGAACAGCCTCTCCACTGAAAATTGTTTTCTTCCTGTTATTAGAATCTCCTTTAAACAAACTAGAATGTAACTTCCTGAGGACAGAAACAATGTTTATCAGAAAGTTATACTATGGTATTTAGCACAAAGCTGAGCACAGAGCTCAATTCAAATGTTTGCTGAATTATGGACACAACCTGATAAAATTAAGGAGGAAAATGAAATAATCTAAATTCATGTCTTTTCCTCTGGATGGCCCCACACCAGCAAGTACAGTGCATTGGGAGAATAGGGAGGGGAGGCCTCCTGCCCCTCCCCCAATGCCTGGCCCACAGTAGTCAGCAGCAGGAGGGAAGGCAGGAGGAACAGAAAAGAAGTGGGAGAGGGGGCTTTTCCATAGGTTCCACTCAATCTTCAGGGGCTCCTAAACCCTATTCCCTCACCACCCAGCACCCAAACCCTGCCTGCACTTACTTCCTCTCCCAGCATCCTCCCTTTCCTCAAGTTGCCCCTCCTAAGATGATTCTGAAGTCTTGGGCTTCTTTGTGGATAACTTTCACACTGCCATCAGGATTGCTGGAAAGTAGAGCCACCTGTGATTTACATTTTTAAGATACCCAACTCAGTTTCATGCACTCTAGGGCTAGAGACCCACTGCCCTTTCTTTCTTTCTCCTCCTCAAGGGAGGAAAGCAAGAACCACAAAACCATATAACCACAAAACCAAAGGGCCTCTCCCTTTGCCCTTCTGTGGTAACCCCAGAGGAGACTCGCCTGCAACTGCAACCAGCAACAGGCATTCCTGTT